TGTATATGTGTGTTTATGAAAACAAAAAAGCCTGTGTTCTGGCTCATACCTCCAAAACACCAAAATATTGTCTAAAATTCTTGAGTTTGTTTAGCCACATGACGGAAGCACGTATCATCTTCCATGAACCCACCTTAACCAAGAATTCAATCCTCGGTACGGTTTCCATAACTGCGATCGACCTTGTCATAAACATACAATATCCTACAATGGAATGAAAGCGTTTCCGGACCTTTTTTGCACAGGCTTGCGTTANNGACGTGTCGCACCCGTTCTCTGAACAAGGCCAAAGAATGTGCATATATATATATATATGTATATGTCTATGAACTCACACATGTAGCCATGCTGCTGGCATGTTCGCTTGCGACCAGGAAGTCAGCACTTCGCCAGTGGTAATGTACGCAGATATGTACGTATGCGTAACTATATATATATATATGCAAATATATGTATATACACGCACACCTACTGTGTCCCCTCAAGATCCATCACAGCCTTCTTCACAACTGCTCCTCGTAATCTTCTATCTCGCTATTTTCCCCAAGTATAAAAGCCGTCAGAATGTACGTTATTTTCTTCACTTCACTTATCTTACCTGGACTCTGTTTCTTTTGCTTACTTCTGACATATGTCAGCCAGCCGAAACCCAATCCAGATTCTGGTTCTGCTTCCGTGCTGTGGGTCAAAAGGTTGCTTCGTGACAGTGTGAAGAAGCAACAGTGCCTTTCTCAACTAGATACACCATGGAGCTCCTCTGTTTTCAGACCCCGTTCTGCTTTCAAGAGGAAAACATGGAACTGTTCTCGGGGTGAGAAACATGATCAACTCTTCATTTCCTTCATTAAACGTGTGAAAGCACCTCTGTACCTTTTCATGTTTTGAAAGTTCTTATCCGAAATACCTTCGCTGTTGTTCTGTTAATGAGAAACACACGAACTGCTGCTTGATTGCCGCACAGTAGCCCCTTACTACCGGCAACAAACAAGACAACACCTACCATCGTTCAAGAAAACCTGGAATAGCCCTTGTCTTCTGCCCATAATCAGCCCAAAGGTGGAACCACCTTTGACTCGATGTGTTGAATCGCTGGAAACTACGCAATTTAGCCTGGAAGAAACGATGATGCTTTGAGATGGACTGAGGAGTCTGTAGTTGAAGACTGTAAAAAAAGTTGTGTATGCAGGACGGCCCCTTTCATCGCTTAATATGTAAGAAAGAAGCTTGTCTCTGTGCTGGCACGAAGATTTTCCTGCGTCTCTCAATGATTACAATGGGAAGCGCATTTTTCGACAATGAACAAAAAGAAGAAGAGCTCCTGAATCTGATAATCAGAAGTACGATTAAAAAAACCTTTGAGCATAAATTGTCAACAAGCGAGGTCCTAGAGCCTCGCAACAAATGTCCAAAAAGAAGAGATAAGAACTCCACAGTTTCAAACAGGCGATACAAACCTCTGTGTCTGCATCAAACCTCCGAAAATCCATGCTCGCAGATACGCCGCCTTTCTGCTGCCAAAAGACGAGCTCCCGCCACAATTCCGTGCACATTTTGGGGCGGGATCCGTGCCCAGGGGATGCTCTTGGAGCCTCACGGTGCTCCTGGGGTGGTTCTGGGACTCCATGGCATATAGTAAGTTTTCCTTTCAGCCCAGGCTAAGTTCCCAGGAAGACTCCCCATTGGCAGTTCAGGGACGGAGGCTAGATCTCAGTCTGAATCCAGCCCGACGAAACAAACGTGCATGCCGGGGGGCTGCGTGATTAAAGGGGATGTCGCAAGCTCTGCGATGGGGCTGTCTGCATCCTGGCGCAGACTGCAGGAAGCTGTGTATCCAGGGTTTAGCCATACCTGCAGCAGTGCCTGGGGACTTGAAGGTTCATTCGGTTCATTCCAATCCGCACCCTGCCAACGTCAGATCACTCCTTTCATGCAGGACAGGCTAGCGCTAGTATCAAGGCATGTACGGTTAAGGGATTCCCTGTCACGAACCAATTGCTCAGATCAGATGTCTTAGAATCTTGGGACGTTGGCCTAATGGTTGAGGGCGGATACCCACGAAACATCCGAGCTCAATCCCACAAACCCTAAACTCCATCCACGAGCCGACATTGCCATGACGAAGCACTCAAGAAGCCGAAGCAAGCAGTTGGCCAACCGCGACCCGCAGAGTCCCTCTTCGTTCTAGCACCGAGTCTTTGCACCATCGATGCTAGAGCTGGAGAGCTTGCAAACTTGTCCACACTTTTCAAGTTGCACAAATCTCGCACAGAGCTACACCTTCTTCATTTGCATGGCGCAGTTGATTTGAATTTTTGGACCGGACAGTGGCAGTAGTTATACAGTAGATAGTTCCTGGTACTATTATAAACACGAACTAGCGGGGCTAAGCCAAAACATTTAAAACAAAAAATAATCTGGCCACCGGGGCCCCAAACCCCTAAGGCGGCCTCGTGCACGGCGAAGATGCTCCGCAGCGCAGACGAACCGGCCTCGGTTACCAGGCGGCAGTCCGAATCCACGTGAGACCTCGGTGGACGAGAAATTGGGATGCAAGGAGTAGGGATGGTTTGAGGGTTTAGGTACTCAGAATGGGAGTGAGATGAATGATATGGTGAATGGTGATCAGAGATGTGTCGACAGCAATGGTGACCAAAACAACCGTGTCGAAGCTGTTACAATATAATGATGCCTACTATCACATGCGCACAAGCCGGTCAGCACTATTTGGATGCTAGCAGCTTTAGACGCGTTCAAGCACTGCACGACCACCACCACCACCACCACCACCGCGACTACAACTTCTACTCCCGACGAGTACAAGTATAAATGGAAAAAAGAAATAAGTCGTAGTAGTAGTAGTAGTAGTAGCAGTAGTAGTAGAAGTAGTGGTAGTAGTAGCAGCAGTAGTAGTAGTAGTAGCAGCAGTAGTAGTAGTAGGTAGTAGGCAGTAGGTAGTAGGTAGTAGGGAGTAGGTAGTAGGTAGTAGGTAGTGGGTAGTGGGGAGTAGGTAGTAGTAGTAGTAGT